GCCCCCTCCAACTCCTGAGCTACAGGGGCTTATTGTGCAGTGTTTCTGCATGGTTGATGGACGGAAAAACCTTTATCATTATTAGGTACAAAATTGAAGCAACACTACACTAGAATTTAGAGGGGTTATGACAACCGTTTTGGTAATTCATAAATCATGCATGTTTATTAATAATGTACGACACTTTAATAAAAAAAATCCGTGTAACTTGAAACAAACTGCCGGCTTTCCCTAACCAATTAGTAAACAATCCAGCTAAGCCTCACTTATATCGACATCGCCTCTTGTTCGATCAAGAACACGAACCTGTTATACATAATTAATTAAATAAGATAACTGTCGTAAACAATGGGTAAACTAAATTAAATCTTTATTACTATTGTTAACTGGACTTCTACCACTCGAAAATTTCACAAACGGCGTAACTTTAAGAGCAATAAATATGCACGATATCACTGGAGAAATGGTAAGTTAAAAATACAAGAAGTAACTGAACAAGATCAAGCTACTGCACAATTGTTCCGGTCATATACAACAATAGCCTTGAAATTGAAATAGACAACCAACTTGAGCGAGATTACCAATAGCCTGTGAAATGTTTCGAAAAGCTGTTAACGAGAAGGTTGTTGCTACAAAAGATACATGCTGCGAAATCGAAAAAGAAAATATTAAAACGCAATATGATCTAAGTGATAATGAAATCTCTGTAGAAATGATGCATGAGCAAGACGTCAATGCACAATTCGATGCCTGCAAAACTGAATTAGACCAAAATTATAGAGATACTTTTTTGTTATACCAACAAGCAGCCGAACGTGGAAACCTTGATGACCAATGTAATCTTGGAGAATGTTATTTCCATGGACTTGGAGTAGAAAAAAATTACAAAGAGGCAGTCGAATTGTATAGACAAGGTGCTGAACAAGGTTATGACCGTGCGCAATATAATCTTGCCCTATGCCTTTGGAATGGAATGGGGGTAGACAAAAGTGAACGAGAGGCGGTTAATCTGTATGAAAAAGCAGCCAAGCAGGGACATATGCATGCACAATATAACCTTGGTGTGTGTTATCACAATGGCTGCGATGGGTTAGAAAAAAACAGTCGGAAAGCTATCGAATTATATCACAAGGCTGCTAAACAAGGGCATGCCCATGCAGCATATATTCTTGCCGTGTATTATGAAAGTGGAGACTTTGGAACAGAAAAAGATTGTAAAAAGGCAGTTGAACTATACCGAATAGCAGCTGAACGCGAACATACTTGTGCACTATATAATCTTGCTCTGTGTTATTGGAATGGAACTGGAGTGGAAAAGAATAAGCAAAAGGCACTTGAATTGTTTCAAAAAGCTGCTGAGCAAGGAGATGTATATGCACAATGTAACCTTGGTGTATGCTACGAGAACGGATCCGGATTAACAAAAGACTATCTAAAGGCAGTCGAGTTATATAGAAAAGCCGCCGAGCAGGGTCTCGCAGATGCACAGAATAATCTTGGTGTATGCTATAAAAATGGCACCGGGGTTAAAAGAGATGTTCAAAAAGCTATTGCGTTATATCAAAAAGCTGCTGAACAAGAGCACGCTGGTGCACTATTTAATCTCGCTTTATGTTATGAGACTGGAGTTGGTGTAACCATTAATAATAAAAAAGCAATTGAATTATATCAAAAAGCCGCTGGACTCGGATATGCTAATGCACAATATAATCTTGCTATATGTTATTGGAATGGAGTTGGAGTTGTGCAGAATTGTCAAAAGGCTATTGAATTATACCAAAAGGCTGCTGAACAAGGACATGCCGATGCACAATGTAATATTGGAGGGTTGTATTTGAGTGGAGTTGGAGTAGAAATAGACCATCAAAAGGCAATTGATTTATATGAAAAAGCCGTTAAGCAAGGCAACATTGAAGCATGTTATAATCTTGCCATATGTTATCAGAATGGAATTGGAATAAAAAAAGACCAGCAAAAGGCAGTTAAATTATATAAAAAAGCTGCTGAGAAGGGACATACAGAAGCACAATATAACTTGGGTATATGTTATCAATATGGAGCTGGAATAGAGATTAATAATCAGAAGGCATTTAGTTTATACAAAAAGGTTGCCAAACAAGGCAATGTTGGAGGGTTTTATAGTCTTGCTGTATGTTATGAGTGTGGAATTGGAATTGAAAAAAATCAGCAAATGGCAGTTAGTCTATATCAAAAAGCTGCTGAGAAGGGCCACAGTGGTGCACAATATAACCTAGGTGTATGTTATCAGCATGGAACTGGAGTAGAAGTGGATGCTAAAATGGCAGTTGAACTATACAAAAAAGCCTGCAAACAAGGAGATATTAACGCACAGTATGCACTGGGTGTCTGCTATTATAATGGCATTGGCACAGAAAAGGATGTACAGAAGGCTATTAACCTATATTGTAAAGCAGCTGACCGAGGACATGCTGGGGCACAATTTAATTTTGATGCATGCTACAATTATTGTTATGGAATTGCAACTAAAAAAGTTGACCAAAAAGCACCAAAAAGCAGTCAATAATGGCTATACTATAATACATCTGACTATTATGAAAAAAACCTCAACATTAAGTGATTTTATATGAAATATGGGTTATAAATTGTTTAAGAAACATCCAAGCATGACATGTTAAATCGAACTATTGCATTGGCAAAAGTTAAAAGTATTAGTTTTTTTTTAACTAAATGTTATGGATATGAGAAATTTGTCACATTTAAGCCTAATACTAATAATACTAAGGCCTTTTAGCTTAGCTATGTAGAGTTAAGTCATAACATTCCATTTGTTGATTAACTTCAATTATGCATGTAGAGTTATGAGTTCAATAATTCGTAAAGTAAAACATGTGTCAAACTTATGCAGACATGCTTGCTGATTTACTAAAAGATGAATATCAACCTAATTTTCTGAAAGCGATTTCATGATAATCTAATTACAATTGAACTTATTTTACCTTTATATTTAGGGCTTAATAAAAAACACACAAATTACTATAAATGAGTGCATTGTCAGCCTAGGTCTAAAAGGCGACGTATTCCTCAGTGATTTCCGTTCGCTCAATGGTACAAACATCTCCGATCTGTGGCACAGTGAATATTTGGCACACAAGCGACACCAGATTCGACCGCATCAAGACAAATTTGGTGTCAGAAATATAGATGACCTGATATATCGAAATATGTTGTCAAATTACTACGCAGCTGATCGCTCCCCATATATATCGAAATATGGTGTCAGTAGTTAGACATATAAGCAGTTGTAATTTTCCGCTCTGAACGTGTCTTCAGTGTCTTCAGAATCTTAGTATCTTCAGCATATTTGACTCTATTTGTCCTTATAATTAGAATAGCTAATAAACCAGTAATTAATATAAGTTGTTATTTTCGTTCATTCCCTGGTGAGTTTTATAGAATCGCTGATTAAGGGTAAAACGCTTTCTCGATCGGCGATTAATAAGTTTGATCTTGCCATTGAACTTATCGAAACTTGGACATCAGGATTATTATTCAATTGTGTTTAACGCATTACTATTATTGAAGACTTTCCCAACCGTGATAGATTTAGTTAATAATCCCTAGCGAATCATAATCGAGTGTGTGACTCAGAGGTTGAATAATACCAGCAATATACAGATAATTGATGTTGTGATGCTGATCCTGATAAGCGTCCAGATACACTTTGGGCTTCAAACGAGGATGATTTTGACTGCAATGCATGGAATACCATTTATCGTAATAACGTAAGACCTTTATCACGTCTTGAGAAGGAAAGTAAATACTCTAGTAAGCGCTTACCTACCGGATAATTAACTAAACCAAGAAATAACTATGATTTGGATTCAGCTGCAGGTATGTTGACAGCAGCTGGTTACATGTTGATATAAACAAGTCAATTTATAATATTAACATCGACCATTGTCTTCTATTTAGTGACTCAAACTCTTAAAATCACAGTCATTTACAGTTTTTATCTTGCGACCAACAATTATGTACGTACTTAACGAGCTATAACTTACTGTATAAGCACCGGTCTGGCACAATTTTCAATAAATACGTAAAGCATAAAGTATATTTGTTGCACAACACCACTATAATTATACAAATATTTCGAGATTCTGTGTAGACCAACCTCACATTGTTTTTGTCCCAAGTATTGACGTCAACTCGAAAGCAAGATTTGTCTATTTTTACGTTTATATATCTTTCCTCGGATTGTCAAATTCATCCTCACACACTAAGTTAATCTTTAAAAAAGTTCTTGCTGAATTCCTCTCTCGATTAACGGACCGATAACCTATGATAATGTGTCACTAACCAAATAATAGCTCAAATTCGGATCTTCAAATTGGTTGGTTTTAAATACGTGGTTGCTGAGATATTGTATCTTTTTTTGGGTTGATCGTATTGACAAAAGTGCTTGCTTGTGGAGGAAAACTTTTTCGATCAGCTGAGCTTACCCTGCAAAGACCTCTGTTGTCCCGAATTGCACCACCACCGTCGTATCTACCGACATTGGTTGCTCGTTATCATTTAAGAAAAATCAATGAATAAACGAGAATAATGAGCATTTTCCACCATAGCAAATCTTTATTTGTTGAGCAAATGCGAGGTCAGAAAAAGGTAGGCAACTAAATTAATGTTATAATTGCTGTATGTAATTGTCGTATGTAATTTACGTCACTATGTAAATTATTAGGACAAACTTACAACTCTAAATTAGCAATTATTGTAAAAGAAGCAAAAGTGGGTATACATTTAGCTGATTATTGAATAACCGAAAAAAGCCGCTACCATAAAAGCATCTTTTCTTTGAGTTATCGAATAGATTGATGATTTTGAAGCATCTATATCACATGTTACTTTTATACGTTGCATTGTTATTGCCAGAATCACGTTTGCACATGTCCAAGCTTTCTCAATATAAAGACCGACTTTATCACCATTTACATCTATTACTTGAGGAGTTACATATAACAATGCGTACTTCTTTCTTCAACTTACTCGTTTTACTGAATAAAATTCCACCAGTATCCCAAGAAGCGACTCTGCGTAGAGTACAGCCTTCTGTTACAGTTCTCGTTGATGGGCTAACTTCGCAGATAGCATTATTCCGGAATACCCTTCAACATTATTACGCTTGTCCATTTCAGATAATTTTCAATCCATCCAACAGCATTCGCCAAAACAAGTTTGTGTGGATAGTTTCGCCAATAATAACTATTACAATTGCTAGTCTTTTGATAGCAATAATTCTCGCCATCCGATTGTTACGTCTTCAAAGCCAACTCAAAGACGACGAGCAATTTGAATACTGGAAATACTCTGGATCCAATGCGATTTCTACTTTCAGTGATGCGACCGAATCAGTCGGCAATGAAATAGCTAAAGAAAATGAAAAGGGCGTCCATAAATTCGAGGAGGATGTGTGGGTTCACGAAGAAGATGGCAATTGTTTGCGTTCAGTCATTAGCGATGGGTATGCAAACAACGTAACTGGGTTATTTGATGATGCAGTACGTGTTTCCGACAATATTTCGCTCGACTGCATCAAGGTAGAGTTACACGACGAGATGGATCCAGTGGCAAACGCCTACGGTGATTTATGTAAGAATGTAGTTGTTCCAATAGTAAAAGTGAGAAAGACCAAAAGTTTTTCTCAAGAAAAGGTATACGTTTGGCATCAAGGAATGTAAGCAAATACGATGGTCAAATTGCAAAGAAGAAATGGATACAGCATCTATTATGAATATTAGTACGATTGATTTTATCGAATAAAAATGGAGATTGAGCTTACTTTGTTGTAGACAACAGATTGCTTTTCATAATTACAATGCATACTACGAGTATCTTATCTCTAACAGGCGTAAATTAGATGCGACTCGGCTCATGTTTTCCGGTACCATGTGACAAAGTCAAAGCACTTTGATTATAGACCCGTGACACAAGTAGTCTTATGATCGGTCCAATGATAAGGAATTCGTAATAACGACCAAATGGACATTAAATTATTAATTTACAACTGTCATTGTACGGTACAGACGAGTTAATTAAAGTTGCATGATAATCCAGAATGAAAAATGAGTACACGGTCTTATCGAGCAAATTGAATAAATATTAGTGTTAATAGTTGCGGATTAGCTAAAAGAGCGCATGGTAATTAAAATAAGACAACGGAAACGGGTGCCAATTTTCTTTTTTACATAACTATATTATATTATTATACAATAATTTTGTATTTTGTACTTTGTATTTTGTATTCCCATTAATATAACCAAAATAGTTAATATCTTATTATAATTAACCATTGAGTGAAATATGCTAACAAGTCGCATTAAGACTATGCTCAACATATTATCTAATACTTTATTCATGAAGCACTGCTTCATCGACTTCGACTATTAGAACGTTTGAAATTTCCTCAATAGTTATCGTAGGCAATTTATCACTCGATTCATTTGTTGCTTTAGTTCCTTCATTGCTGCGTCTACGTTTTTTATCTTGTATAGTAACTGCTTCTCTTGATGTAGAACAATCCGTGCTAAAACGTTTAAATGACTGATTTGATTTTGTACTCGTGTTATATGTACCAGTGCTCCATCGTATGTTTGTACCCTCCCCGTTTTGGTTATAAACACAAAGTAAGTCTTCTTTGCTTTTTGGCGGCGTTAACGTCTTTTGTATATCGGCTTCCTCTATATCAACGTTAACTGTTTCGTCGGTTTGGTAAGAGCCGGATGGGCTGGGTTTTTTTGGCATCTGAAACGACGTCATCATGTTGAGCGAAAATGTCTCTCTAGATAAATTTATCGAGTTTCCACTAAATTCTTTACGCGGATAAAAGATGTATACTAACGCAGGAAATGGATATCTGGGTTAGTTGACTGAAGACTAATAACGTTGACGTAAATGTTTCACCTTTGTTATCATACTTACCAATTGTAATAGCGTCAAGAATTAGAGCAAAATTAGATATAGTTGACAATAAATCGGCTATAAATTGGTTATTTTCAATCGTATGTTGGCTTGTTAATCGGTCAATTGACTGAATGAATGCCGGAATAATAGAAAAAATCATGGCAAGGATAAATTGTCGGTTTAGATTTCTGTAGTAATTTATCTTGTTTATTATAAATTGGTCACCAAGAATTCCCCGGGCTTCGTCGACCAATTCATTAAACCTAAAATCTGCTCTTATTCCATAAAGTATAATTGGAATATTGACGGCTACAGCAAATATCCTTGGCACAGCCTAAGCCATGATAGCAAATTAAACATTAGTTGTATCTCAAATACCAAAATAAATGCAATATTAATTTGTAAAATATATAACGCACATAAAACGTAAAAATTTACCACAAGTAATATTGGTTTGTCTTTCAAAATATAGGGAATCAAAGGAAATCCCAGGAGAGCTCCAAAAGCAAAAGCGTAATTGACTTTGAAATGCACACTATTTATAAAAGTCTTGCGGATTATTCTCTTGGTCAAATAATTCCAAAAGTTTTGCATTAATAGCACGGAAGCTGTTTCGATAGCATAAACTATCATGATAAGATACCGAGACACAGTTATTATACGCTTGTCTTCCTCGTCGTACAACTCATCAGGCTTTGAGACTACTGTGCCATCATCTTGCATTGTAAGACCTTCTTTGTATCTGATTGTAACACTCGCAGCATCGCATAATATTTGCAATATTAAAGCAATAAAAAAGAGTACGGTTGTTACGCCTTTAACCTCGAGACGCCGAAGACGTTTCCAACGTATGGACTTAAACCTGTCGATCGAGTAGATGCGATATACTGACCATATAAGAATACCGCAACCTGCCACTGATCGTTCTGTTGGGAGAAGAGTAAATGTAAATGTTTCATTGGGAGCAGAAATAGAAGGTCATCAACAGTAAGATGCAAGTTGGAGTAGGAAATCGAATTTAAGCAACTATACTTACGCAGTTCTCCTGGAGTAGCCATATTGATATACACTACGGAACGTATTGACAAGCGATTAGGATAGGAAATAAAGGAGGAAAGGGAGATATAAAAGAAAGTGAATAAAAAAAGGAGTGAATAAAAAAGAGTGAATAAAAAAGAGTGAATAAAAACGCTATAAATGACTGTAAAAAATATAGGTTATAAAAACCTGTATGAACTATCGCAATGTTAATGACGGGATTATTTATATGTTTTCTGCGGGCTGACAAATAAGCGATCTATTATAATGCATTTAAAGGGTTGGCAGGATGCTTGCAAACAGATCAGCAATCTCGGACAAGCGATCGCCTGCATGAGACTAAACGATTTTAGTTTATTATTCCGATAAAATCTCGGACAATAACTATAATAATAAGGACCAGCAAAATGACGTAATATATAGTTTAGTACCTTTGTCCGGGGGTTTATTCAATTGGAAGAGCACAGGTTACGACAAAGAGACCTGTTTGAACGATTAGTATGATCGGCAAGGAGTAAACACATTATTAACAGAAAAGAGAGTGCACGAAGCAACATGTAAAAATGAACAATACGGTAACTGGAATAGAAATTGAATACAGATTGAGCACGGCAAATTAGTACGATATACCATTTATGTTAGTTTGTGATATTCTTGTTAATTACAATAATCGCAATTATATGAAATTCACAGAGCCTTTCATATGTAATTAATTATCCGACATGTTCAACCCACCATTTACTGCTCGACATACAGGGTATGTGGTCAATTCAAATGTCAACAATCGCTACAATCGGCACATTATTCCAGCGGTCAATCTTCATGACCTCCTAACAAGACAAATAACATATGCAAGTGACAGTACGAGAGTCTTAATCTTTCAATCTTTCTGAAATGACGATGTAAATCTTTTACGATTTCATGTTAGTTGTGTGTGCGTGCTAATATTCAAATGGAAAACAGTGTCAAAAATCGATCAGTTGTTTGTTTATTGTTATGATTAGATCTTTCCGATAAGGTAAGTTCCATCTCTAATGTAGCACAAATATGGTTAATATTAAGTTGAGGGTTTTTAAGGTTATAAAGAGTGCTCATATCTTTTGCATTCCCAACGTATTAGTTACACAGTAAGTGAAGCAAGAGATACGATAACAGTGCACAGAATAAATAGATGATGGAAGTAGTGCCATAATTTGCGCGATATCATACTTGTCGTTCCGATGATACTATCTGTTCTGTGAATCGTTTAAACCATACGATGTTAGTTGAATGCAAATATAATGGTTGAAGTAATGGCTAACCATTATTAATTATAAAAACCGGATACAAATTGCAAATAACGATTGATAGTTTGCTCAGCTCATAATATTACCAAGTCACGTACGTAACCCATTATAATCGTTAATTATAAACCAAAATTTATATGACTTTGCATATTGTCTAATTCTGTAGTTGTTAGCATATTGTCTATGCTAAGATATTACTCGTTATTGACATTGAATCTTGGTTTATCACGTACAAATATCAATAATCAGCGAACGCTGGGCTCTGTATACTAACAAATTTAACAAAGTGTAGCAGTAGTCTTTCAATAACAATCTTCAACGGCGAGAGTATGCTGTATGTGTAGTTAGAGAGCTAGACGATGTTAAATTATTCGAGAACAATCGAATAATGATTGTTACAAAATAATTGGCATACTGTATATCAACCCCGCACTCCAAAAGTATGCATATATAAGGATTAATCCCAGTCATTCCAGTCCTAATTCCATATGTAGTGAATGATTTTTACTAATGTACTTGAGGTAAAAACTACCAAGATACGTAGAGAAGATCGCTGAGAAAATGCCTATGCAAAAATCCTATTTTGTGTAATAGGACGATTTAACGTCTTTTTGATAGTCTAGTCCCCATATGTTGACTCTAACCATAGTCTCAACAGGACCGTGGATTGTTCCTATCAAGATAGGGATGCAGAAAGAGTTTGTAGCCCTGCAACTTAGGCCAGCATAGGGATTGGATGGTGAGTGTGATTTGTCAAATAATAAATAAGGCTGTTTGAATCGTTTCAAGACTCCATTTTGATTCAAAGTTCCATGCCATAATGTATTGAGGGTGTCAGGATCGAGGCCTAAGTACGACATATTCCTCCGTGATTTCCGCTCAATTCTCCGATTCCGCAGCACACGAAA